CCTGTGCAAGGTGTTAGACTGTGCTTTGAGGTGCGGGGAGGCATGGTCTGTGATTTCCTGCTAATAGGATCAATAAATTGCCTCAGTTAACTTTAGATTTGTATGCTCAGCTTCAAGCTGGACTCTCCGTATTTCAACTATTTAAGGAAAGTATAAATAATTTGATTGGTTTGATGATGGAATAACACTGCTGCTTTGATAGGATGGTAGGTAACCAGGGCCACTGCCTTTCCAAGGTGTGAGGTAAAGCGTAGAGGGAATCTTAATTTACCGGGTATGGTTTAAAGAAAACTTCTCTAAGCTGAGACAGGCACACTAACAGAAGACAATGTGATGATGTTGCTGGGTGATGTTCCTCCTGTAAGAGCAGCCTTCAAGGACAAGGAGGTTGTCCAAAGGTGCAGACCAGCTCCTGACAGCTGTGCATGGTGGGAGGACATGAGGCAGCCGGCGTAAGCTGAAACTAGACCGGTTCAGACTGAATAGAAGAAAAATCATCTTCACTGTGAAGACAGCCAAGCAGTATATGAGATTGCGCAGAGAGTTTGTGCGGGCTCCACCCATGGAGGTTTCCAAGGCCTGGCTGGAGCAACCTGGTCTGACCCCAGGGCTGACCCTGCTCTTGAGTTCCCTACCAACCTCAATTAGCCTCTCATTTTGCAAAAAAACCCCCAACCAAACCCCACCACATTGTGCTGCAGAAAAATGTCTTACAGCAGTTTTGGATTGACTGTATAGATTGGGGCTGTTATATTTACTAGTGAGACTTTTATGACAAGCATGCTAAGAATATGTATTGACCCATGTCTTAAAAGCAGAATTCAGTACCTGAGCAAAATGGTTGTGGATGCATTAGCTGATTCTTGGCTTAAGAGATAAAAGAAGATTGTTTTGCCTTTTTTTTTTTTTTAAACTCAAACATCTTATTTTTATGAAAGATAAATGTAATTTTAGTAAGTAAAACTAACTCATTATTATGCATAAGCCTGGGCCTGGATGAATTACTATTATTGTTGTTGCTATTGGAGAAGTAGTAAAATACTGAAGAAAGCTGTAGATTTATAAAATATTCAAGACAGAGGTGTGGCAGTACCACTTGTAGACAGGAAATGGGTTCTTAGCATTTTAATATACAAAGTTACAGGATGTTACTTCTAGTACTGGTTTTGTTTTGTTTATTTTGAAATTATAATTCTTAGCACATACGTAGCTTTTTTATATACTCTAGTCTGTGGGCTGTCTTGTGCCATTGATTTTAGGCAAACTACCTATTGTTCTTAATAGGGAAATCTATTGATTTTTAATTTTTTATTTTTTTTATTTTTTTTATTTATTTTTTTTAAAGCCAATGGTTTGGCATGGCTTGTTAAGGGATGTGGTTTTGGTGTTAAGCCAGTCAGGTAGCAGCTCCCAAGACCATTGCCCCTGCAGAAGCAGAGCCTCTCGTTGCTGTGCCTGAATGATGGGCAGTGGAGTCCTTTGAGTTCCCACCTCCTTGGTGCACCCTTTTGCTCTCTCACGTCTGTACTGGAATCAGCACACCCCCGATGCGAGCCACAGCATGTTCCCAATCTGGATCATTAGCAGTAGAAAAGTAGTTTATCTGCTAAGTCTTTCCATTACCATCCTGAAATATGGCCCTCTGCTTTTGGCCAGGGTAGTTGTAGAGGACAAAGGCAGAGAAACTGAATATCAGAGGTAGGTACCATCCTTGCAGGGAGAGGGGAGTAACAGAGTGCTGGGAATTTAACCCGATGTCTGTTTGTCATTGCTATCAATTGCAGATAAGGAGACAGCTCATTGAAAGTTATTTTTTTGGGTGAACTCGCATGGGAAGTGCACAACATCTTATGATGCGTTTGGTGATAACCTTCGCTTCATGGATGACAGAAGTTTCTAGGGACCAAGTTTCAAACCAGTCTGTCTGCGCCCTCAGTTTCAGGACTCTGACTCATACGTGGGAGCAGGTTAAAAGTTGTATGAAGCAATTATTTTCCCTGCTGCCTGCCTTAGCCTGCTGGCAGAGTTTGTGCCACCATGCGCCGGGGAGACTGAGTCTGTGGAGCAGTTCCTAAACTGCTGTGGTTTTAAGAGCTGTGATGAGTCAAGTCTTATTCCAAACTCTTGATGCTGATGCATTCTAAAGTTAAAACACTCAGTTTTGTCTCTGTATTTGTTGTGAGATGGCCTGCTAGCATAGTAATTTTTTTCAAGAATCCAAAGTGGACTCTTATTGTAGATGTTGACCCAACCAACACATTGAATACTCCTGCATGTTGTGTAGAGTTGCCTGTTCTGCTGTTTGGTTGACATGTGGAGTCATCTCAGTTGGACTTTGTATTTAATTTTTTAATAAACAACAAAATCCAGGGTCCCATTTGACTGAGATGGCATTACAAGTTTGAATTTTTGTTCTTGCAATGATCAGTAGCTGTGAATCAGCCTGATTCCTCTTGGCAACTAATTTCATTGAGTGTTCACATGAGCATTTGTTAAAAAAGGAATTAAAAGTTGCTTATAGGTGTTTTCCCACAGTGATTGTAGGTCCAAAAAGTGAAAGCTGGTCTCTTGGTAGCTGGGGCTGGATTAATCTGCTCACTATTTTCAGTGCTCATTCCACTGCAGTTTATTTTGGGTCATTTAATTTCAACAAGGGTTGATCTGTTTACAGCACTTTCTATAGTAGCATGACGGGGCCACACAGCCCTTTCATAGTACATTCATTGCTAACCAGGGGCTCAAAAAAATGGTAAATGAGGCACAGACATGAATAAGTTTAGACAGGACAGTACATTTTTGTATGGTTGGATTCTTTTGGAAAGTTTTCTGAAATAACCAATCTTTTGTGCACTGTGGGTGGGTTGCTTTGCAGAGCCTGAAGTGATGTATATAGTAGCCGTGTGCTTTCAGAGGTAGGAGTGGAGAGCTGGCTGAAGGTACTCCTCAGGCTTAAGGTGCTTCAAAAGCCACTTATTTGAGGAGCACTTTTGTTTCCATGGGTAGATATTTCCACCAGGCAGAGTAGTTTGATTTGACTTTGCCATTTTAATTTTCAGATTTGCTTTATGAACCATTCATATACAAAATAGGTTAAGGTTAAATAGATCTCAGTTAAAAATGTCTTAATCAGTTGGCCTCACCAGCCAGTACAAAAGCGTATGCTTGTTGCCTGTGCTGAACGTGATCAGATTTAACATTATGAAGGTGATGGCCTTGTTCCCCCTCAAACAGAAGAGCCAGACTTCTTCTGTGTCCATCAAATTGTGACTATTTCTGGTTCTGCTTGTGACAGCTGACAAAGTAACGTTCCTTTTGTGTACTTCATCAAACCAGACAGAATTAGTGACTCCCACAACAGAAGTCAGAAGGAAGGCATGATGTCCTGAAAATGACTGCGTTTATACTTGCAGGATAGAACAGCACCAAGAAGTGTTCCTGAGTGCCAAGACCATTTTTTTTTCCCTTAAATTTTTAGCATTCTTGAACTCTTCTGGCTTCTGTCACTTAGCTTACTCCCAAAGAATGGCCAGGCGCAGTTTGAGGCGTGGTCTCAATACTTAATAGTGGGGAAATAGCTGATTGCATTCCCATTGGCCTCGGCGCAGGAGAACCTCCGTGGACATGTTTAACTTTCTCTTGTGTAGGTAGTTATTACATCCTGATAGCAGATTAGAGGCAGAATCGGCAGCATTTTGGCATCTGAGTAAAAAGTATGACATTAACACTCTTGTTCTGGGACATTTGAAGCGTATTGACAGTTTTGTAGCGGTGTCTGTGTGTGTACACAGAATCAGTGTACACGTGTACTGACTGTGTGATATTCTTGCACAGGGATCTTAACGTTTACTTGGCTATAGGAGACTATTCCTGCTTGGCTACAAATTGTAAAGCCCTTATACCAGTGATTGGAAAGTTTAAAAAGCACTTTTTAGAAATGTCTCAATTTGGAAACTTACCTTCTACAAGTTGAGTGTGTCAAATGCAATTTGACTAATGCTCTAGGTCCTCTGGTCACAGCTATTAAGGTTTTGTGACTGGCTGTGAGCTGTGTCATTGAGGAGCTTCTGATCTCAGCAGGTCCTGCCCTGCAGCTGCACAGCCTGCTGGTGCACCCTACGATGTCCTTTTCTGGGGGAAAACATATCAGCGTGCCTTATGCTGCTCTACCTATATTTTTGTCAGCATGTCACTGCTTATAGAGGTGTGCTCCATGTCCATCTCCTCCAACACAGGCCACCATGGAGGTGACTGCCCACCCATATTTTTATTGTCTCTTATTGTCTGACTCATAACTGTCTGAAAACTCCTGCTTGCAGGTTGATCAGGAGCTCTCATTTTGCTGGGTACCTTCAGGTTTAGCTCCATGCGCTGCTTCTAAATTTAGGCTGTGAAAGTACCAGCTTGGCTTCTGTTCTTTTATACTTGAATGGAAATAGTTCAAAGTTGTGCTGATGTAGTAAAAACAGGATGCCAGAAGGCAGTGAACTGTGATAAGGGTGAACACACAAGAGAACACAAGCAGGAAGTGGCCACTTTAAATCCTTACTGCCATGAACACACAATAATTTTTTAATATAATGTGTTTAAAAACTCCATTTCCCTTAAAGAAGGTTTGAATTTGTTATTCATAATATAATGTAATTTATAAAAACATTTATGTTATGATAACACCGAATGCTCTAGCCAAATACCATGAGAGACAGTTCAGGCAGTCTGGATAATACTCAGAGCATTGATTGTATAGCAGTGATCCGTGCTTAACAATGACAGTGCTGTTTCAAAGTCTTTCTTATTTTTTTTCCATGGCCTTAGTGATGAATCAGAGGTAGTGGGCTGAGACGGAGCTCAAAGTCACCAGCTCCTCCCAGCTTGCTGAATAGATCCCAGGAAACACCCCGTATTTCATTACCTCTTGCTTAGTTTATGGTGTGATATTTTGCTCAAAGGCATTAAACTATCATCAAAAGCAGCAGACCAATTAGTGTAACTTCTTTTTCCAGGGTCGTTGTACAAGGGAGAACTGCAAGTACCTTCATCCGCCAACACATTTAAAAACTCAGCTGGAAATCAATGGCAGGAACAACTTAATCCAACAAAAAACTGCAGCAGCAATGCTTGCCCAGCAAATGCAGTTCATGTTTCCAGGGACACCGATACAGCCAGTGGTAAGTATATTTCTCGATGGTGTTATTGGTAAGTAAAGTTGAAGACTATATTGTGGTCTATAACTTCCTCACAAGGGGAAGAGGAGGGGCAGGTGCTGATCTCCTCTCTGGAGGCCAATAAGACCAGAGGCAATGGCAGGAAGATGTGCCAGGGGAGGTTTAGGTTGGACAGTAGGAAAAGGTTCTTCAGCCAGAGGGTGGTGGAGCACTGGGACAGGCCCCCCAGGGAGGCAGGCATGGCACCAAGCCTGACAATATTCGAGAAGCATTTGGACAATGACCTCAGACACATGGTCTGAATCTTGGGGTTGTCCTATGCTAGGGCAAGAGTTGGACTCAGTGATCTTTGTGGGTCCCTTTCAACTCACAACATTCTGTGATTCTATGACGTGCCAAAGTTCTCTAAACTAGTATCAATAAAAGTAGTCCCCATCTGTTGACTTAAGGAATTGCTGAGATGCTAGAGATACTTATATTTGCATTTGAAGATACAATGGAGTATTGCTATAGATTTGATGCATTTGTTTTATCCCAGACTAATTTGCTATTTTTTTCTCTCTTTTTTTTTTCCTTCAGTCCGTTCACATCAGGTTTGATCTAGATTTGCAAGGTTTTTATCTATAATCTGACTGGAGGTGAAAATTTGAATAATAATAATAATAATAATTTGGTAGTAAATTGTTTGGGTAGGAATGCAAAGTTTCTCAGGAGTCTATGGGTTTGAATGGCTTTAGACAGTATTTAATCCCAGTGCCAGGAGCAAAGGTTATTGTCATTCTGGGTAGCATTTTATTACTCTGTTGAAATCTGAAGTGTCCCAGAATAAGCCAGCGAACTGCTGGTGCATGCACTTTGCAAACTCAGCTTTTTATCATAGGGTAATTCATATAGTGCCTGGGACACCTCAAATCCTGAAGGTGGCATAAAACTAGAGTCTTGCAGGCATAAGCAGTGTCTTTGGATATATGTGAAAGTGATTGGTTGCTCTGGGCTGCCTTTGCAGCTGAGCTCCTCATTGTACTAGATTTCCAAAGCATGGTTAGGCAAGTAGTCTGAATTAAACTTTTCACACATGGCTGCTAATGATGTTTTCTCAATCTAAATGCCTGGTGTAAGGCACTGGAGTGGGATTTCTTTCTTTAACCTGAGGCATCTGGAGTGTTGGCCATCAACTTCTGCCCTGGGCTTCTTAGGTCCATTTATAGTTTATCAAAAGAAATAGGCCCCTCTAATTACTGCTCACTTGGCTTGTTTCAGACGTCTGCATTTGGATTAGCCCACCCTAGATGCCTTGTGTTTTTTACACTTGAAACATCTGCTGTAAGGTGGGAGGCAGGAACAAAAATTAGGTGTCAGGAGTCCCTGAATTTCTGATACATGTTCATCAAAATGTATCTTGGTATATTGGCATAATGTGTTTTGATATTTCCTGATTTTTTGCTGCTTGAGTTTTCACCAGAAAAGTTTTCATGAAGTAATACATTTCACCTCGTAGTATTATGAGAAAAAATGAAGTGCCAAAATTATACTTCTTATTCTCACCCGTTTCATCATTTGAACTTTACGTTTTCATTGACGTAATGCCGCCTGTACTGATTGCTGTGATAAAAGTGCCAGGTTTTATTTCTCTGTCTCGCCTAAATTGCCAGATTAAGATGACTCAACCTTGACCAAATGGATAAAAAGTGAAAGAAAATTCCATAGAAGTCATTCAACATGTGGATTTATTCTTAAAATTATAGCTGATTATATATAAAATTATATATATTAAAACTATATATAAATAT